CTAGGACCACACCCTTTAAGGCACCTCTCGTTAGTATTTCAGTTCAGGGGAACTGAAAACTAGGGGTATTTGGAGGAGGAAGTAGAATTGTGGTTAGTTTGGTTCTGGCTTATTGCTGCTGTTAGGTGTCATCGAGTTGACTCTAAACTCAGAGACCCTGTTATGTATAGCAAATCGAAACCTTGCGTGATCCTTTATTTATCCTCACTCTGCTTTGAGGGACTTCCATTCATTCTCTCTTTTGCCAAACCTGATGTTCTTTTTCAAGGACTCGTCCCTCTGAATAGCATGCCAAAAATACGTGAGACAATTCTCACCATCCTTGCTCCACTTATTCCAAGACAGATTTATTTATTCTTTTGACAGACTGTAGGATGTTCAGTACTCTTCGCTAACACAGCTCAAAGGCTAATCAATTCTTCCCATATTCATGATCCAACTTTCACATACATATGAAGCAATTGAAAACACCATGTATAGGAGAGTACACCTTAGTCTTGAAACTGACATACTTGCTCTTTAGCACTTTAGTGGCAGCAGAATTTTCCAGTGCAGTTTGTCTTTAGATTTCTTGTCTGCTTCTTCCATAGGTGATGTGGATTCAAGTAAAATCACAACCTGTTGTTTCAGCTGTGAAGGTTTCGGTTTTCTTTTTGTCGAGATGCAATTTATAGTGAAGGCTATTGTCTCTGATCCTAAATAAGTGCTTCAACTCCCATTCACTTTCAGCAAGCAAAGTTGTTCATCTCTGTAACAGGTTGTTAAGGAATCTTCCTTCAATAGTGGTATCACATTCTCCTTCATACAGTCAAGTTTTTCAGATTATTTGCTCAATATAACGATTAATATAGTAAAAGACTACAACCCTGATAACTCACCTTTCCTGATTTTAAACTATGGCAGTATTCTATTCCCTGGTTATGTTCAAACAACTGCTTTATGGTTTCTGTGTAGATTGTGTAGGATCACAAAGGTTCTGAATTTCCACTCTTCACAATGTTAGCCGTAATTTATTATGACTCATACATACAACCATATCCCTTTCATGGACAGTACAACCCAAGTAAACATTTCTGTTACTCTGTTTTCAGTGAAGATCTAGCTGATATCGGCAATAATATCCGTTGTTGTATGGCCTCTTTTGAGTCCAACTTGAATTTCTGGCAATTCCTTGTTGATGTACAGCCATTTAAAAATAATCTTAAGCAAGATCTAACTTTTATGTGATATTAATAGTTTGGTTTGATAATCTTCACATTCTGTTGGGTCATCTTTTTTTTTTTTTTTGGAATGGGCACAAAGTCAGTTGGCCATATCTTCAAAATTTTGTCTTGATGTAGGCAACTGAGTCATTTACTGAAACATCTCCACTGATATTCTGTCAACTCCTTAATCCTTGTTTTTCACCAATGCTTTAAGTGCAGCTTGACCTTCTTCCTTCTATATTATCTTACCATATGCTATCTCATAAAATGGTTGGACATAATTTCTTTTTGGTATGGTGACTTCCATCTTCTATTGATGTTTCTTCAGGATTTCAACTTGGGACTTGAATTCGTTATTCAGTTCTTTCAGCTTGAAAAATGGCAAGTGTATTTTTCCTTTGGTTTTCTACCTCTAGGACTTTGCATTATTATATTTCATAATAATACTTTGTTTTTCTGAGTAGCCCTTTGAAATTATCTTTTCCACTTTTTTTTTTTCTTTTCCGCTTTCTTATGTCATCATTTTTTCCTTGCACTTTATATTTAAAGAGCAAGTTTAAGAGTCTCATGTGACAACCATTTTGGTTTTTCTGTTTATTATGA